CCATGTTCCAAGCATTTTATTTTGGGAATGAATCCCCATTGGTATTATTATCACCAACTTATACAGTAGACAACTGGAAGCCGAAGTTACAAGGTCATTTAGTCAAAAGAAGAGCCATGCTCTGACTCAGGGCTTCTCTGATTCTAAAGCTCTAGTTCTATTGCCTCTTTCTAAGGGAAAAAAGATAGGTCAATTAATGTCTACCTGATTGCATGGGCCCTAATAAAATCATCAGACGTAAAAGTTCACTTAGAGAAAAAAAACTAAGTTTTACCCAACATACAACTGAAGAGGGATATTTCAAATTCATTATGAAACAGATATAACATTAAAAGAAAGTTTCATTAGAAGTACATAAATTAAAGATAAAATTTGAAGAACAAAGGGAAAATAAAATATTATATGTAAAAGGAATTAAAATAAATGATGATTTAGACCTAATTCTATTCACTTTTTTAAAGAAATAAGGTCATGACAATATTCCAGAACCTCCCTTTGAATATGCAGACCCCAGAAATGCTGGGAGAGCTACTCAAATGACCAGTGGAAAACGTTCATAGGATTTAACACTTTTGGGAGAATCCCTCACATGAGAAAGCTGGTTAACAGTCTTCAGCTAGAAGAGAAAGAGTTGCCTAAACACCTGAGCCTAACTGGAGTTGCTGACATGTGCTCTGCATTTCAGATGTAGCAAAGGGTGAAACACCGGGCTATGTCTACCCTCAAGACGAAAAGAAAAAGACAAATGTCATATGATATCACTTACATGTGGAATCTACAAATATAATAATAATACAAATGAACTTATTTCGAAACAGAAACAGACTCACTGACATAGAAAACAAACTTGCGGCTTCCAAAATGGAAAGAGAGTAAGGGTGAGGGATAAATTAGGAATCTGGAATTAACAGACACAAACTAAACAAGAAGGACCTACTGTATAGCATGCTCAGTCACTCCGTTGTGTCCACTCGTTTGCGACCCCATTGACTGGCCTGCCAGGCTCCTCTGTCCCTGGGACTTCCCGGGCAAGAATACCGGAGAAGGTTGCCATTTCCTTCTCCAGGGCACCTTCCCAGCCCAGGGATCGAACTCCCATCTCAGATGTCTCCCGCATTGGCAGGCAGATTCTTTACTTCTGAGCCACCCGGGAAGCCCAGCTGTATAGCACAGGGAATTATACTCAATACCTTGTATAACCTTAACGGAAAAGAATCTGAAAAGGAATCAACTACAATTCAAAACAAAAAATTATTAGAATCTTGTCCGATAATCTGAGAGGGCAGAACTGAGCACATCACACTAACATATATGATTCAGATTCCTCCTTAGGGATGTTCCGTGGAAACAAGAACTACCACCAGCCCCAGGTAACCAAAGAGACAGAGATTTCCGCTTTTCAGACTAGAGGATTAGAGTCTCTTACGAGAACATATGGGCTTCCCAGGTGGTGCTAGTGGTAAAGAATCTGCCTGCCAATGCAGGAGACCTAAGAGATACAGATCTGATCCCTGAGTCAGGAAGATCCCCTGGAGGAGGGCACGTCAACCCTTTCCAGTACTCTTGCCCAGAGAATCTCATGAACAGAGGAGCCTGGTGGGCTACAGTTTGTGGGGTCACAAAGAGCCAGACAGGACTCAGTGAGCACAGCACACAGCCCACACAGTAGAACATAATCAGGCAGCCACCAGGAAGAAAACACTACAGATGCCACTGGAGTGGCAGGTGGAAGATACCCAACACACAGTGACCTGAGAACAGAATAAATGCAAAAGGCTATGCTTTCTCTCAAGATTGCCCAGAAGCACTGCTCTTCCTAGAATTAATCAATGCAGATTTTGATTGGCCAAGTCTGAATTCTTTCAGGAAATCTGAGTGTTCCAGCTAAGACTAAGGAGTGGTGACTGGCTTATTGTATGAGTCTCAAATATTCTAGATATTAATTTATGTTCTAAGGAATATCACTAGCAGATTCTTTATCCTTCAACAGCCTGAGTAATTTTAGTAAATTATATAAAAGTTATGAGAACCTAGAAGGAAAAATCCAAAAATGTGTGAAATGACTCTCCTCTAGGTTCTCTTACCTGATGATCCATGCTTCTATTTTGTCCTCTGTTCTGTACCTCTGGGCTGAGTTCAGTCAGCTCTCCTCTTTCACATCCCACCTAAATGATCTATGGCAAATTAATGTTACATTAAAACCATCAGATTCTTTTTCAGTCTAACTACACCAGAGCACTCCTTCCAAATGTCCAAATGTAACCTATACATGACACAAAATTTATTTCTTAAGGTAATGCTCAGATTGCAATAATTTTTGACATTGCAATATCAACATTATTTTTGAAACCTTGGCAAAGAACTCAAGCATCATTCCAACCTAGATATTTAATAGTATGAGGATCTGTGACTTTGAAAAGTAAGAGAAACTTTTCTTTCTTTTCTATCTGCACAAAGCTTAGCAACTTCTACCAATTGAGTGATGCGAATTTAGTCAGCCATCTAAAAATGTCTCTAAATCTGATTCCATTTCAGCATAAGAACTTACAAAAGACCCCCAAAAGTCACATTACAACGTCTGATCTACTAAGTAACGAAAATGTAACTTGCTGTTTACCTTCCAAGAAGCCTATATATTACACAAAACACTTCAGTGTAGCATTTTATGTACATTGCCATCAGAGAAACAAAGGTCAAATGTTCTCATATCAGGCTACCCAGATTCTTTCAACACAACTAGTGAAAAGAGGAATGATTATTTGTGTAATGTGAAAATGACTTTAGTGACCAATTTGTAACCAGCATGTATTTCTTTACGTGCAGTTCATGCAGAGATAAGCCTGCTCTTCCCAGCCAGGAGGTCAAGACAGAATCTAGTACTGATTGGCTCCTGCTGGCGCAGACCTAACGTCACCAAAAGTTGTAGCTTAGCCAGTCACCTGATAATGTACAGCTGCTTTGGTCTGCTTTTGTTTTACCTCGAGCTTGGAATTACGTCGTTTAAGCCCACATCCTAGCCACTTCTGAGTTATGTACAGAAAACGCAAACTAGCCAAGATGGCGGTCAGGATGTCTCAACCCACGTTTGGTGGTGACCGAACCGCTGAGCTATTTACAGCACTGCGCATGCATCACCGGCGCTCCCGCCCTGCTGCAGGGATGCAGGAGCTCCACCCGGAAGCGGCAGGGATTCCTGCTGCCTCACGGCGATGTCTGCTGCGTCAGCCTTGAGAGGAGAGAATACATGCGAATGCTGCCAGGCCGCTGCGTCAGCCAGGAGGGAGGTTGTGCGCGTCATCTTGTGTGATGTCTGCCTCTACGGGTGCTGTGAGAATAAACCCGTCCTTAGTTGCTGCGGCTCCTCGCGTTTCCTGCCAGCTTCCTAGCGTGCACCTTGCCCACCCTGGGTTCAGGAACAGTGCGGACAGTGTGAACAGCGAGACACTTGGCGCTGTGAGCAGGATGGGAAGCAATACAAGTGACTAATACCAGCGTTTCTCCCGTGTGCGTATGAAATGTGTGTGTTTGTGTGTTTAGCTGCTAAGTCAGTTCTGACTCTTGCGACCCCATGGATCGTAGCCCGCCAGGCTTTTCTGTCCGTGGGATTCTCCAGGCAAGAATACTGGAGTGGGTTGCCATTTCCTTCTCCAGGGGACCTTCCCCACGGAGGGATCCAACCCTTATCTCCTGCATTGACGGGTGGCTTCTTTAACGTTGAGACACTAGGGTAGTACACATGCTAATAAATCTGTTTGGGTGTTAGTTCTAGAAGGTCTTGTAGGTCTTCATAGAACCTTTCAACTTCAGCTTCTTCAACATTAGTGGTTGGGGCATAGACTTGGATTACTGTGATATTGAATAGTTTGCCTTGGAAACAAACAGAGATCATTTTTAACATTGCACCGAAGTACTGCATTTCAGACTCTTTTGCCCAGGCAAGACTTCAACAGTATGTGAACTGAGAAATTCCAGATGTTCAAGGCTGGATTTAGAAAAGGCAGAAGAGCCAGAGATCAAATTGCCAACATCCATTAGATCATAGAAAATGCAAGAGAATTCCAGAAAAAGATCTACTTCTGCTTCATTGACTATGCTAAAGCCTTTGACTGTGTCAGTCACAACAAGCCATGGAAAATTCTTAAAGAGATGGGAATACCAGACCACTTTACCTGCCTCCTGAAAAATCTGTATGCAGGTCAAGAAGCAACATTTAGAACAGAACATGGAACAACAGACTAGTTCCAAATAGGAAAAGGAGTATGTCAAGGCTGTATATTGTCACCCTGCTTATTTAACTTCTATGAAGAGTACATCATGCAAAATGCTGGACTGGATGAATCACAAGCTAGAATCAAGATAGCTGGGAGAAATATCAANGATGCTGAAGCTGAAGCTCCAATACTTTGGCCACCTGATGCGAAGAACTGACTCATTAGAAAAGACCCTGATGCTGGGAAAGATTGAAGGTGGGAGGAGAAGGGGACCCAGGGGTATGAGATGGCTGGATGGCATCCTGACTTGATGGATATGAGTTTGAGTAAACCCCTGGAACTGGTGATGGACAGGGAAGCCTGCGTGCTGCAGTCCATGGGGTTGCAAAGAGTTGGACAGGACTTTGTGACTGAACTGAATGGATATGATCTATACCTGGGTTCATTATACTGAAAGAGTGTGGTAGGGTGTACTGTTGTCACACTGGGTCACAAGCCTGATGCAGCTTCCATTAGCAGTTAGCAACAAAAAAATTCAAGCTATATTTTTTCGACCATGTTCCCAAATTATACTGTTTAATTGTGTTGCAAAGAATTGCTCCCTAACTAGTAGGTTTCACTCCTAAACTAATCTCATACCCTCAATCACATTTAAATATCCTAAAAGATTTTATTTAAACCCAAATTGCTTTAAAATTGAAAAAATCTCAGCATCATAATTAACCAAATTTTACTATGTGAAACACACATGCCCCAAATATATGAACAAAGATACAGGGGAAAACTCACATAAAAGAATCCAAGTGGTCCAGATATATACGGCATTTTCATTCCCAAGAGATATTTGGCTTGTGAAGTCACGACATGAGTGGCCGCCCCGGTTGTCATTGCACTGACCACAGGCTCTGTAATCAGGAATGTGGCGCTGCCCAGCTGGAGCACAAACATGGCCGCCTGAGAGGACGAAGAAAGGTGAGACTTCCCAGGCTCCCTAGAGGGTTTCGTGTCTGACACATTTTCATTTTCAACACACAGACACAGAGGAATGATGAGAAATGTGCTCCTTAAATTTCATTCATTCGACAGATTGAGGTTTCTTTAGAACATTAGTAGGTTCCAAGATTTTCCAAATGTTTTGGGGTACAATTACAAGTCTTTCAATTGAAGTTAGCACAGTTATTTTTTGAACATTGATTTTTTTTTCTCTTTTCCTAATAATGCACGTTACAAGAAAGGAAATATGTTCAAATCAGTTAATATATGGGAGTCTGTGGGGTAAAAATAAAACTTGCGTTATCATATCTATAATTTTTTTAAAAGTCCAAAGGACATAATTCATGACTTTATACCCAATAGGCTTAAAATTCAAAAGTACCGAGGAGAAAAGTCCATTTCCTGAGTTTCAGCCAGGTTTTAAGAAATGGAAACATACTGTTTTGACGAGATACTCTGTCAAGTAGCTGTAAAGGGCGTATATTAATAAGAAGACATCAGTGTTTATGGAGAAGAGGAAAAGACAGAGATAGGTTTAAGGAATATGCCTTAAGAAACCCAGGAATCAGTAATAGGAAAGTCATTTTCTATAAACTTTTCCTTTCTGCTCATAACATTATGCTCCATTACAAAACTATTTCATGACCAGACAAAATCATCTCATCTGAGCAGAAGCTGTGCATTGAGTTCTGCTGGGCAAAGATGACAGCAAAAATCAAATCTCTTTTCTCACTGTTAACACTGCAATAATCAGTGAAGAGAAAGAACTCTGAGGAGATGGCCCACTCTCTGACTACATCCACTATATCCATGTCAACTGTCACAGAAATTTGCCGTTTTGAAAGTAACATTAAATTATATTCATGAGTATTCACACTGAAAAAGGGAACACAAAGTGAGTTATGCTGACATATCTTCCTTAATGTGTTAATTATAATATTTAGGCCAGGTCTTAAAATTCTTGTTGGAAAATAAGATTAAGTATTAAAGAAATCAAGGGAAAGAATAGCAATGAAATCTCCTCCTATCAAGATGCCACAGTAATAAAAATGAGAAGTATAAAGTGCTAAATACTCCCAGAGAACACACTGAAAAATATATCATTTCCTTCACATCACAGTGCTTCTTGACCAGAAACAATAATACTCTAAACTTGTATTTAGGATGGAGTTTTCTGAGCTCAAATATGAAAACTTGAGTTCTGATTCTGACCTTACCGTATCCTAATTTTCTGCCTATGGAATATCTGTTAAAATTTTCCAGGCCTCATCAGCTATAAAAAATGAGAATGATGTCTGCTCTATTGATTTTTCAGAATTGTTGAGAGTGTGAAATAACATATGAAAGAGTTTTGAAACCCATAAAATATGCAACATGTGTGTTGTACCTGGAATGTTATAAGATGCCATATATATTTACATAGCATGGAAAACTAGCCACTAGATTTGAAAATGTAGAAAGAGCCACACCATATTTTCCAACTCTAGAGAGCATGAAAGAATTTATCAGTGCAGAAAGAAATGCATTTGAATTTCTTGCATTTATTAATAAAATAATTAATTATAAATTGCATTTATCCCCTCCCTTTTTATTCAGTATGTAATAAAGAAAACGATACAGGTTGCCAACACAGAAATCAGGCAATTCTTCCACCAAAAAATGAAACCAGAGCAGCAGCTTCTATTACCAACATTTTTTGGTTCAGAAACTGTGTCAGTTTGTCAAATAGAAATGTCCCAAGGGAAATACCCAATCAATCAATGGTGTAGGTACAAGTGGAACACACCAATTCATAGTCTTTTGATTTTGATTTTCATCCTAAAAATACAATTAGTTAAGAAAAATGTGGAACCAATTTTTCCCAAGTATCTTTCTATTAGTTCACTCCAAATTATGCACTAATTCTTACAGGCCATGAGGATGAAACTAGCATATTATTGAGGCAAAATGAACACCAGAGAGTTGAGTTTTCATTCACTAAAATGCAGCATACAAGTGATCCAAATCTGTGAAATTGGAAGCCTGCTTCCCTATATGGAACTTTACGCATATGTGGAGTGTCAGAAAGTTCTTATTTGTATGCCAAGAAATCTTATTTTCATTTGTTTTGAGAAGCAAATTCCTTTGAGAGGACGTGTAGAGATCGTCCCCATTTTACATTCTGGTTTTCATTTGTTTCCTACCCGGCACCTACTAAGAGGGGTTAGTATCTTCTCATGCCTGAGAAACAAAGGTCGCCTAACCTGAAGTGACAGGCCAGCCACCCCCAGCTAACCACTATCTTCTAGTAAAAACTTCTGTGTCATTTCCACAACCAGATTGCTACAAATAGAAGGATATAGGAAAAGTTCAAAATATGAAGGGCTCAGCCATTTCAAATCTTGAAAATACATGTACCTACCTTACAATACAAACCAAAAAGATTGGGGTAATCTGTAAAACTTATCCAAAGACCCCCTGTATTTTTGTAATATACTTCTTGTACACATTTTTATGCTTTAGAAAAAAACCTTCCCAGTAACGGACAAATTCCTAAAATGGAGAATTCTTGACTCTTAAAAGTTCGCCAAGCCCCTTAAGACCTCCTTCTGATACAAAATATTGTGTATGTGAAGGATGGTTGCAAACATGTGAGATTTAACTAAAGAGAAATTACATTCTTCTTGATGACAGCATTCTCCATAATCCAAGACAAGGGCAGACATTTTCGGAAAAAAGAGGGATAGGAGGAGAAAGACAAGAAGGAGAAATTTACGAACATCTCTTTCCTCACCACCTACATTTCAAGTTTGTTCACATCACAATGAGGGTTCTAGTATACAGAGGCTGAGGTATACAAGCTGAAGGCAGCAAGTACCTGTAACACACAGGCTTTGTAAGAGGTATCCACAGATGGGACTGCAGTTTCCAAGATTATCCTGGAACTTAAGTATGTAAAATGAGGATCCTTCTATAATATTTTGCTTGGAGGCCTAATACTTAAATTTTATGCCAATGTTAAAAAAATGTTAGGTTAATGACTTAATAAACAGCCACATCTGTTCCTTTTACTAATAATGGGGATGATAATAATTATAATCTGGCTAGCCAACTCCCAAAATTTGCCCATGCAACATTTCCTGAGAAAATTAATTTCATACAATATATTTCAGCTGTTTGTAGTAATGTTGATATTCTGCACTAATGCTGAAAACCCCTGACACACATTATCAAGGTTCACAAGCATGATACTATTTGGTAATGCTCTTATAAACACCATGTGTTCTATATAAATTGAATGTATCTCAGATCTCAAGCCATTTTTTGCAAGAGGCCTTCAAGTAGTGAAAAAAGAAAAGAGTGCATATCAAACAACTACACTGACCAAGTGGATGGAATACTGCATGCATTTCAGGTTTTATCAGTTTACAGTCTGTATAATTATATTATACCAAATCATTTATTTGTTTGTTCAATGCATATTTATTGAATACCTGCTAGGGGCAAGGCACAATATTGCTACAGAATACAGAGATAAAGACACAGTTCCTTTGGAAAAACCTTATAAAGTGAGGCAAAGTGTTGTTGGGAGCAGGGAACGTTAACCAGGAGTGTAAAGAACTGCAACGTAGCTGTTACTAGGAAGGCAGAGACTAAGAAGTTGAGTGGGAGCTAAAACTCTGAAAGCCCTTTGTTCTCTACTGAGTATTGCATGCAGACTTGGGAAAGAGAGCTAAATTGCTCATGATAATAGATCGGTTGGCTTTCCCTGTGGTTTAGTGGTAAAGAACCCTCCTGAATCCACTGCAGGAGACATGGATTCAATCCCTGGGTGGGGAAGATCCCCTGGAGAAGGAAATGGCAACCCACTCCAGTATTCTCGCCTGGGAAATCCCACGGGCAGAAGGAGACTAGAGGGTGACAGTTCATGAGCCGCAAGAGTTCGCCATGACTTAGCAACTAAACAACAATGGAACGGCTGAGTGCTGCACAGAGATACGGCAGGAAAAAAACTCTGTGTGACCAGAGAATAGAGGAAAAACGTCAAAAGGATACCTATGAAGTTGTGTTCTGTGAAGTTATGTGCTACGGAATTCATAAGATAAAGCCTGCCTCCATACTATTCAGTAATAAAAAGGAATGGCCTATAAAGTCATGCAATGACGTACTGCATGATTCCATTATACAACATTCTAGAAAAGGCAAAACAGAAAAAGACAGTAAGCAGATCAGTAGCTGCCGGGGCTTGGAAAATGTATAATAGGTGAAACACGGGGAATTTTTTAGAATGGTGAAACTACTCTGTACAATACTGTAATGGTGAATATATGATAGCACATTTATCAAAACCCATGAACCTTATTTTTTAGAAAATTATTTGGAGAATGGGAGGTCCCAGGGTGGATTGCAGAATGTGACAAAGAATCTGACAACAAAAGCTGCATTTACTATCTTTATATGTTTGCCTTTTCTAAGTAGCATTTAAATGGACTCCTACAATATATAGACTTTTCAGATTAGTTAAAGGTATGAAAAAACCTCACAGAAAGGGATGCCAAAAATGTGCTCACATGAATAACTCTGGAAATGAGTGAAGTATGTAAAGTGAAAGTGAAAGTTGCTCAGTTGTGTTCAACTCTTTGCTACCCCATGGACTGTATAATCCATGGAATTCTCCAAGCTAGAATACTGGAGTGGGTAGCCGTTCCCTTCTTCTCAACCCAGGGATCGAACCCAGGTCTCCCACATTGCAGGCAGATTCTTCACCAGCTGAGCCACAGGGAAGCCCGAAGTATGTCAAACCAAAGGTAATAAAGATGCTGTCCTTGAGTTGGTAAAGTTCATTCCCATGGGTCTAGAAGTTAATAATTCTGAAACCACTAGAAGTATACCCTGGGACTGAAAAATGAAATAAATGGTTAGTAGATGGTGGGAGCCAGATTTCTCACTATTGAAGAAATCTACTGCAAGCAAGGGGAGGT